CCTCAAAGACCTGGTGATGTCATCACAAAACCTGTCTCAATTATTTTTGAATGGTCTTGGGAATCTGGAGAGGTCCCAGCTGACTGGAAGCTGGTGAATGCTGTCCTGATTTTCAAGAAGGGCAAGAAGGACGATCCCGGAAACTACAGGCCTGTCAGTCTCACTTCAGTGCCTGGTAAATTTATGGAGAAGATTGTTCCGGGAGGTATTGAAAAACACCTGGAGGACAACATAGTCATTGGTCACAGCCAGCACGGCTTCATAAGAGGAAGTCCTGCTTATCAAACCTGATTTCCTTCTATGACAAGGTAACCCACCTGCTTGATCAAGGGAAGGCAGTTGATGTAATCTTTTTGGATTTCAGTAAAGCTTTTAATCCTGTGTCTCCCAGGATCCTTCTGCACAAACTGTCCAGCCCACAGCTGGATAAAGACATCATGCGGTGGGTGAACAATTGGCTCACGGGTCAAGCGTAGAGGGTAATAGTGAATGGGGTGACATCAGACTGGCAACCTGTCACTAGTGGGGTTATGCAGGGCTCCATCTTAGGCCCATTGCTCTTCAACATCTTCATAAATGACTTGGACACAGGACTGAAAGGAACACTAAGTTTGCCAATGACACTAAATTGGGAGGAGGTGTCGACTCCCTCAAGAGCAGAGAGGCCCTTCAGAGAAACCTTGACAAATTAGAGGGCTGACCAATCACCAACCAGATGAAGTTCATCAAGGGAAAGTGCTGGATTCTGTACCTGGAATGGAACAACCATGGATGTTTGTACAGACCGGGAAAGGAGATGCTGGAAAGCAGTGCTGGGAAAGGGACCTGGGGATCCTGTTTGACAGCAAGTTGAATATGAGTCAGCAGTGCCCTGGCAACCAGGAGGGCCAACGGTGTCCTGGGGGGCATCAGGCACAGAATCGCCAGCCGGTCGAGGGGGGGATTGTCCTGCTTTGCTCTGCACTTGGGCAGCCTCACCTTGAATACTCTGTGAAGTTTTGGGCACCACAGTATAAGAAAGATATTAAGCCAGTAGAGAATGTCCAAAGGAGGGCAATGACGATGGTGAAGGTTCTTCCCCCAGAGGGTAATTGGGTACTGGAACAGGCTCCCTAGGAAAGTGGTCACAGCACCAAGCCTGACAGAGTTCAAGAAGCATTTTGATCATACTCTCAGGCACATGGTGTGACTCTTGGGGATGGTCCTGTGCAGGTCTAAGGGTTGGACTTGATGATCCTTGTGGATCCCTTCTAACTGATTAATCTATGATTCAGTGTTCAAAATTGTTTAAATTGGGGTACCTGGCTGTAGTGGGGAAACAGATTAGCTATATGTTTCTAACATAGAAGTTATGGTGACAGCAGTTTGCATGAGATTTTTTTCTCTGCCACAAATTCTGTTTTAATCTGCTTGCTAACTCAAAAGGTAGTAGTGCACCTCAGTCCATGTTTGAAAGTTAAACTTCAGATAAGCAACTACTTAAAGGGAAATAAGATAAAAAAATAGCTAGAATTTACTGTTGACAGACATTTTTGTAATTTTCCACTTTCAGTTTTACTGCTTGAAAGCAATGATTTAAATAAATATAATTTTCCATTTCAGATGAAAGCAGTGGCTGGTATGAAGATGTCTTACCAGGTACAACAGGCAATCAATACCTGCCCAAAGGATCCTGTAAGAGGTTTTAGACATGATGAGTCATCCAACGCACTGTGTTCACACCTATACTCCATGATTCGAGGGAACCGTCAACACAGACGAGCGTTTCTAATTTCATCACGTCTAAAACCTCTTAAAAAAAAAAAAAAAAAAAAAAAAAAAACACTTATAAAGAATATAAAACATACCATTACATTTTGCAGTATATTTTTATGACATCATTATTAATAACTTTATTTCTCTAAGGTACTTTGTTTTGCTTTATAATATAAGGTATTTACCTAATAGAATGCATTAGTCACTTTTGCATCATTTGGTACCTTTCTGTACTCAATTTGGGTTTTTAGAAATAATGTATCTTCAGATCTGACTAAATTTTGCATATATAAATGTTGTTTAGAGTGGTTTTGGGGGGGGTATGTAGAATAAAATTTGTGATCCTTTTTTTTTTGGTTTTAGACTGTTAGGAACACAGGTTAAGTGTATAAATCTAAGATATTTTTATGTATATTTGTATGTACTTTTTTTTAACTTCCAGAAAACAGAGGTGAATATGCTCTTGTACATAGCAGACAATCTAGCCTGTTTTCCTTATCAAACACAGGAAGAACCACTGTTTATAATGCATCATATAGACATTACACTCTCAGTTTCTGGTAGCAACCTACTACAGTCATTTAAAGAGGTATGTGCATTTATATTTGAGTATATTTATTATGGTGGCAGCATGCACTTCTATATATTTTGGTCAATTTTTCAGTGAATACAGTACCATTATTATGATATGGACCAGTAGATGTTACTTTGTAACTGGTAGTTAAAAAACAAACAACCCTTTCTGTTCTGGCCTGTATCTGGTAGACACTAATTAAAAACTTTCCTTACATTGCAGGTTATGTTATTAAAAAAGAATTATTAATAATAATATTAAATCTATATCATTCTCTAATATTACTGAATTAATTGGAATTAATATTAATTGCATTTACAGTTTTAATTGAATAATCCAATTTGTTTTCTGTTTTGTTGTCAAGTAGCTGATAGCAGTTGCATGTGTGTCACCTGGGAGACTTTAAATACATTATTTATTGCAAGAAAAGAGTGCAAAATTTGTCTTTTCTTAAGGTAGCATATAAGAACCCCAATAATGGTATAGTATCTGTTGCTATGGCAATACACAACCCTGTAAGAAAAAGACCTTTGTTTCTTGTACTGTGTCCAATTATGGGCTCCTCACTATAAGAGAGACATGGAGCTCCTGGAGTGGGTCCAGTGGAGGGCTACAAAGATGATTAGGGGACTGGATCATCTCTCTTATGAGGAAAGGCTGAGGGAGCTGGGCCTGTTCAACCTCGAGAGGAGAGGAGAGGAGAGGAGAGGAGAGGAGAGGAGAGGAGAGGAGAGGAGACTGAGAGCGAATCTCACCACTGTCTGTCAGTATCTGCAGGGAGGTGTCAGAGGATGGACCAGGCTCTGCTTGGGGGTGCCCAGCAATGGGACAAGAGCCCCCAGGCACAAACTGATGCCCAGGAAGTTCCACCTGAACATGAGGAAGAACCTCTTTCCTGTGCAGTTGACTGAGCACTGGAACAGATTGCCCAGGGAGGTTGTGGAGTCTCCCTCACCGGAGATATTCCAGAACTATCTGGACACAATCCTGTGCCACATGCTCTGGGATGACCCTACTGGAGCAGGGAGATGGGACCAGATGACCCACTGTGATCCCTTCCAACGTGACCCATTCTGTGGTTCTGTGATTCCTAAAGACTTCAGTGTCTTCATTTCCTGGACAACTTTAACAGTAGAAGGTCCAAACTGTCAGGAAACAAACCCATTTCTAGAATTTCCAATCTAACTAGTAAGTATAAGTCAGAGGACTTATACTTACTAGTTAGACCTGGAAAGTACACTGCTTTGAATTTTCACCCTACCAAAGTTGATTTTTAATCTGCTAGAAAGAGACAGCACATTCTTTAGATGGGGGACCGGGACACAGAGGATGAGATCCTACTTGGGACATCTTAAGTTCTGTGTTATGAAAAAGCATACTATGTGCAGTAATAATGCAGGTGTGAAATTCTGTAACTCTGCAAGTAGTGGAACTGAACATTAGTAATACTGTATATGATGATTTGGGGGTTTCTCTGGTCAGCGGTGTAATTAGTGTCATAGGATTTTAACAGAGACGAGGATTAAAACCAGCTTGGACTAGTCTGTACCAAAGTACATATGGAAATATAGGTAATATGCAAAGATTATATTCAGGTGAAACAAAAATGGAATTTTCTTCCTGATTTATTGTATTTGGCTTTTTACTGCATGTTACTGTCTCCAATAACAAACCTGAGCAGTCTTTTTAAGAATAATGTGCCAGTGGAGTATTTCTTGCTTCAGTTCCTTCTCTAACCACCTTGCAAAAAAAGCGGACTTTGGATCAATTTTTCAGGGACCTTGGGTTATAATTCAGCATCTTTTTGTCATAAATACTTTTAATCTTTGAATATCAAGTTATGAATATCAAGTTATGAATGAATAATATTGTTCAGGGAATTCTTCCTCATTTAAATCAATAAGGATTTTTTGAAAGATTTTTTAGAAATGTACATAATACTACTTACGCTAATTTTGTAATGTGTGTTAATTTCCTTGTCTCGCAGTCTATGGTGAAAGAGAAAAAAAAGGAAAGAAACCCTTCATCAGACGAGGAGACTGAAAGTGACAGTAACAGTGGTAGTGAAAGCGAAAGTGAGGAGGAAGCTTCTAAGCCTCGGAGGTTACGGAAACGAGTAAACTCTGATTCAGATTCTGATGAAGAAAATGATATAAATGCTGTGATGAAATGTTTACCAGAAAATTCAACTCCTTTAATTGAATTTGCAAATGTTTCCCAAGGCATATTATTACTTTTGATGCTGAAACAGCATTTAAAGAACCTCTGTGGATTCTCTGATAGGTAAGGATATTTAGATAATAGGCCATCTTGTAAGGATTACATTTGGAAATTGGGGGGGGGGGCTTAGTTGATTGTTAATAATTGTTTCAGCAATAGATTTGTATGAGAGAAAAACAAATATAGGTTGAATGTAATGAAACTTTGGCTTAGAAAAAACAATCATTTCATTTCTTACCAGGATGTCTATTGTATTCAGAATGGTTAAAATATAACTACTTATATTGAAGATTTTTAAAAGTTTTTCCTTGAAATTGTTTTGGACTTTCCTTAAAAACTCTTCCCTTTTGTTTTCTTTAAACAGTAAAATTCAGAAATATTCTCCGTCTGAATCTGCAAAAGTTTATGATAAAGCGATAAACAGGAAGACAGGAGTGCATTTCCATCCAAAACAAACTCTGGATTTTCTGCGGAGTGATATGGCTAATTCCAAGATCACTGAAGAAGTGAAGAGGAGTATAGTAAAACAGTACTTAGATGTAAGTAAAGTTGCTTTACAGAAAATCTGAAATTCTTTCAGACTAGGTAATACAGTATAAACTTGAAAGTAGATGTTGATGTATTGGATAAACATTTCAAACTGTTAACTTTCTGGTAATCTTATGTGATATACTGATGACTCACAATTTCCTTTCTGGATGTTTAGCAGGATTGTCTTTCAAAGTATTCTAATAAATTTAAACACAATAAAAATTAATTTCAACTGAAAGATATTCATCTTTACAGAGTATTTTCTAATTTCTTGTATCCATCTTGTATACCTCTACCATATAACTTGTTTCCTTTATCCCTGAGTGTTTCCATCATAAGAATAGAGACTAGATCTAATGTTTTTACTCTTTTTTTTACTTTTTTTTCCCCAATTCTTTAAAATATTAATTACAGAAAGCCTGCAATTCTGGAAACACAGGAAGAAAGCTTTTACATATCTACTAGAAAATGAAAGTAAAATGTTTGTAGAACAAAACAAGCTGTTGAAGTTTGAAGTTGTCTGCCATTTGTTTTACACTGTTTCTTTACCTTCTTATTTGGTTTTTATTTAATGTAGTGTGATATGAATGTCTATTTTTAAAGTTTGAATGTAGACTGACCTGTTCTTGGGGGTTTATTTAATAGTTCAAGCTCCTTATGGAACATTTGGATCCTGATGAAGAGGAAGAAGATGGAGAGGTGTCAGCTAGCACAAATGCTCGTAACAAAGCAATTACCTCACTTCTTGGAGGAGGCAGCCCTAAAAACAATGCAGCTGAGACAGAGGATGATGAAAGTGATGGGGAGGATAGAGGAGGAGGCACTTCAGGGGTGAGGCGGAGGAGGAGTCAACGTATTTCGCAACGTATTACGTAAAATTATTTTTATGTGCTTATAAATGTCAGTCTATTATATTAAATGTACAACAAGTAATGTAATCCACATGAAAGCATTTTGTAGATAGAGATTCTCTACTTAACCATTTATACAACTTTTGTAGAAAGTTTAACAGAAAAAAACAATAAAAAAACAAACTAGAAAATGAGATTTATCCCATATAAAAATTTATTAATTTTCCTTTGGAATGTACTGTGTGTTATCCTTTTTATTGTTGCCAAGTTTTTATGTAGCTTTATGATTCGTGTGTATATATAATTTTATATATCAATAAGAGATAAAGACACGGGTACAAATTAAGAGTATGTGATTTTACAAGGATATGTTAACCCCTTGGCGCTGGCGGTCGCAGTGCGTCTCATTGCCGGCAGTGGAATGTGTGCTGGGAAATCCCAACTCCCGGCGTCAAGGGATTAAAAGCAATAAAAGCAATAATTTCACTAAAGTTCTTTTGTGTAACACTTGGTCTTTTTTCCCCCCCAATGTTTTAGTCATTGAGAAGGTCAAAACGAAATTCAGACTCTACAGAGTTGGCAGCACAGATGAATGAAAGTGTTGATGTCATGGATGTCATCGCTATTTGCTGTCCAAAGTACAAAGACCGACCACAAATTGCAAGAGTAGTACAGAAAACCAGCAATGGCTTCAGTGTTCAGTGGATGGCAGGCTCCTACAGTGGCTCCTGGACTGAGGCTAAGCGCCGTGATGGCCGCAAACTGGTGCCTTGGGTAGACACTATTAAAGAGTCAGACATTATTTACAAAAAAATTGCTCTAACAAGTGCTAATAAGCTGACTAATAAAGTTGTTCAGAATTTACGATTGCTGTATGCTGCCAAGGATGGAACTTCCAACTAATGAATTTGTACTTGCAACCAAATTTACAGGAATTGAAATAACAGAAAAACTTGAAATATCAACTTTCTGGCAAAAAAAAATCAGTTAAATGAAGAGTAAGAATGGAACCTGGGATGCAGGAAAAAAAGAAGGAAATGTTTGGTAAACATTTATGTGGGAGCTTCCTTCGCTGTTGTGCAGCAGAAACTTCTCAGTTCATTTTTACTCCCACTGTATTATAGTTTAAAAATTTGTTTATATCTTGGAAAAAACCTTTCTGTTAAAAACATAAACAAGTGAATGTTGGAAATTAGTCTGTTAATGTTCTTAATAAAGTGTTCTTGGAGTTTAACCTAGCAGCGGATGGCTTTCTTTAGCATAGCCAGTTTCCAGGGAAGCACTGTTTTTACAGGCTGTAAAATGGTAGAATCTCCCGGATATAATTTTTTTCTGTTGAAGAAAAAAAACAAGAAAGAAAAAAACTGCATGCAGTATCTATGACCTATCTGCAGGAGGAGGTTTTGTAAATGTAGATTTTAATGTATTAGGTCACCCTGAAATAATACAAGAAAAGGGATCCCCAGCAAATCTGGTGGAATGAATACTGCAATAAATTTTTTTACTTCTCTTTGTTACTTGTCTGTTTCCATTTGAATTTCTTATTGTAAAGATCTGTTTAAAACCATTTATATTATTCTGCAGCCTTTTATGTAAAATTTACTATATTAGTGGTTTTCAAAACAAGACATAAAATATTGTTTATACCATTTTTATAGGCTGACTTCTGAATAATTGGTGTCTTTTTATTTTTATCCCTTATAGGGTGTAAACACAAGTTAACTCCAGGGGTTTATTGTATCCTGCAGTATTTAGTATTAACTATATGATTTAGCACTGTGCCAAACACATTTTCAAGAGTACATTTTAATATAAAAAGAAAATATAGTTTATTCCATGTATGCTTCAATTTCTTTCTAATACTGTCCGAATGGTAATTTGTGATAGTTTAAATTTGGGGAAAGCTGAATGACTATTTTGCTTGGGCTAACTGGTCATGTATGCATTTCTCTGGGTTAATATAGAGAGGCTTGTGTCAAGAGGAGATAGCTACCAGTATCTGAGGAGTGAATGGGTATGAGTCTGGGCAATTACACTACATTCCTTCACAAAGATTTTTTTTAAAAAAATGCGTGTATATTAGCCTGTTTTTTTTATTAATTGAAAGATGTTTTCACATTTTGTAAATTGAAAAAGTGCTATTGAAACCTTTCAGAAGCGTTTGTTTTGACTATGTTGCCACAAGCCTTTCATAAGCAGTTTGCCTTTCCAGAGAGTAACAAAAGCAGCAGATTTGCAAACAGAAAAAAAACTAAAACAACTGAACTTTTTAGGGACATATTAAACCCTGCTGTGTTTTCAAATATGTTTATCTAAAACTGGTGTTCCTCAATAAGTAAATCTTTCTCTTATGTTTATTTTCTTTTATTAATTTAATTTATGATAGGAGGCTGTTTTTATGAAACTAGCTTGCAGAATTCTAATGCATTATTCGATTTGTGAGGAATAGTAACAGTATTCCAAAATATTCTCATGTACAGAAAAAACATTAAACCAAATTGATTAATAATTCCTCAGAATCTAGTTAGTAATTGTTCCCATGGGAAATGCCTTTTTACTGTTTCACCACTGGAATCTTTCTAAACAGAAATATTTTCGCACCTTTTTGTTTTCACAGTTAATGGTGTTTTCTTCACTGTGCAAAAAGCCACATCTCATGCTAAGATGGGTGTTGCTAAAGTAGGGAGAAGCAGAAAAAGCAGAAGTCACCTCTGCAGATCTGGAAGCAGGGAATGAAATACTGTATTTCTCAGGGACAAGAGCAGCTTTTATAGTGAGTCTCATACTATGAGAATAGAGGGGTTGTATGACGTCACATGTTATTAGTAGAAAGAGTTGAAAATACTTCACAAGGAAACTACCAAATGATTAAAAACAAGAATTTCATACAGATACAGTCTAAAATGAAGTTGTCACTAGTCTGTTAGACATTTCTAATCTTTTTATATTAAAGAATCTTTAATAGGTAATGCAAACGTTTCCTTGTTCATAAACAATTTGTCATGTCGCTTTCCCAATAGCAAAGGAGGGGTTTTTATTTCAAATTGTTTCGTATTTATTAGAATAAAATTATCAGAAATAAATTATAATTAAACAATAGAAATCTAAAGTCTAAAGTCGTCTTAGTTGAGAGGATTTGGACCATTACTATATTGTGTAATATGTCAAAGGGCATACATGCTCCTTGATGGTATCTGTTAGATATACTATATAATATAGACTTATAAAATTAATTATAGATTATTGAATAAAATTTTCACTAGTTAAGAGTTGAATTTTCCTCTTCTGTACTACCCAGAGTAATATCTAGTTTTGTTTTGCCTATCACAAACATTCAGCTTACTTGCTGTGGAAAAAAAGGTAGCAGAGCTCATTTTTGGGAAACAAATTCCTGTTAGTTGTTTATTACATGGGCTGACTATTTTCAGAGATATGAAATAGAAAGACCAAGGCTGCAGCTGTAATTTATGCAGTGCTCAGTCTCTGAGTAGCAGTTGCAGGTTTTACCAACATGAACCACATTATTGGCAACAGCATGTACCAAGATGACATTTTTTTTTAACATAAAAAAAAATTCAAAAGGTACTGCATTGCAGTAATTGACACAACAGAATTTTACCCCTTTGTGTTTACATAGCTTTGTAGTGTTTTTTTCACTGTATGGCTATAGATTTTTACATACATACTATAAGGATTATTGATTTTTTTTTTTTATTCTTACTGCTTTCTCCCTTTCAGTACAAGTTCTGTACATGAAAACTTATTGCAGCAGCTTACCTAACAAAGGGATATTTTCAGACTTTTAGAATTAACACTAACCATATTGTACTCTTTAAGAAAAGACAGACACTTCTACAATCTAAAAAAGAATTAAATTATTATCTTTAATTTTCCATTTCAGTGCTGTAAATTTGCAGAATAATTATTATTTTCATTATCTGCAGCTGTAAAAGATCACAATAGTTCATAACAAAACTTTAATTACAAATAAGTATTTTTCTAAATGATTCAGTATGCCCTTTTGTATTTTTTTAAGTTCTCTATTGTTTATATTAATGACCATCATGTATAAAGGTAGACGTGGACAATATTCATCATAAGTATTTTAGTGAGGTGTGGCCATTAAAAAACTATTTAAAATTTAAATCAAACTTGAGCCTTTGTTTTGCTGTTGTGGCATCACTAGTGAGAATATTGTCACTGTGAAATATTTCGATTGTGCTAACCATTAGCTCTAATATAAAATACCTTTTAACACTGAAATAGTTCTTAAATGTATTTGTGGCTTGTGACAAAAAAAATTTTGTAATCGAGTCTGACTCATCTGGTACTAGTTAAACAGGATGTTCTGCCTAAATGCAAGTGTTAATAATATTCTAGAGTAATGAATGGATCGGTTCAATTGATCCTTACTGTAAAGATAAATAATTTTAACTCTGAGCCACAGACAGATATTAATGGAGTTAAACTCAAACACCTAATGCTTTTGTTATGTGCCTGACACTCCTAAGTCTCATGTGCTAGAAATAATGAGAACCCAAGGCACAAATTTGCTGCCACTCACCAAAGAGCCACACTGTCATAGTTTAACAAAGCACCAAACAGATGCTCACTCACTCTCCCTCGGCAGTATGGGGGAAAGAATCAGAAGACTAAAAGTGAGAAAACTCATGGGTTGAGATAAAGACAGCTTAATAGGGAAAGCAAAAGCTGCTCACACAAAGCAAAACAAGGAATTCATTCAGCCCTTCCCATGGGTAGCAGGTATTCAGCCACCTTCAGGAGAGCAGGGCCTCATCACACATAATGGTTGCTTGGGAAGACAAACACCATCACTCCAAACATCCCCCACTTTCTCCTTCTTCTCCCCACTCTATATACAGAGCATGATGTCATATGGTCTGGAATATCCCTTGGGTCAGTTTCAGTCATCTGTCCCATCTGTGTCCCCTCCCAACTTCTTGTGCACCCTCAGTCTCCTTGCTGGTGGGGTGGGATGAGGAGCAGAAAAGGCCTTGGCTCTGTGTAAGTGCTATTCAACAATAATAAAAACATGCCTGAATTATCAACAGTTGTATTTTGTCTGGCAGAGGTGTTCATTTCCCCATAGCAGCCCTCACAGTGCTGTGCTCTGCATTGGGAGCTAGAAAGATGTTGAGAACACACCAGTGTTTTGGCTACTGCTGAGCAGGGCTGGCACAGCATCAGCACTCTCTCAGCATTCCTCTCCCTTGCCATTGAGGGCAAGATCCTTGGAGGGGACACAACCAGGCCAGCTGACCCAAACTAACTAAAGGCATATTCCATACTATATGACATCAGCTCAGATATAAAAGCTAAGGAAAGGAGGAGGAAGGGGGAGCATTTGTCATTTCCAATGTTTGCCTACTAACAAACCATTATGTGTGCTGAAGTCCTGCTTCCCGGGAAGTGACCGGACATCACTGCTAATGGGAAATAGAGAATAAACCTTGTTATTTTCGTCTTTGCTTGTGTGTGCACAAACTTTTGTTTTTGCTTTAGTAAACTGCCTTATCTCAACCCATGAGTCGTTTTCCATCCTATTCTCTCTCCCCTGTCCAGCTGGGGAGTGATATAGCAGCTTGGTGGGCACCTCGCATCCAACCAAGGTTAACTCACCACAGTCTTTTTCGCACCCAGTGTGAGGTGAGACAAAGGCAGTTATATATATATTGCATGCTATAGTATTAGTAGTTATAGAGAAACAAGCTCCTGTGTGGGACGTGGAGTTTGTCACCTGCACTGCTCATCTCTTTATTTTGCTGAGTTTGGGAACATACTAATATAAACAATGGTTCCATGCTTTTCCCCTACACTGACGGTCTTGTTATGCTGGGGGACCATCTTCTGGGGACAATGAGGGAATACACCTCCTGCTCCCT